ACAGGAAATGGACATGCCTAAATAGAACAACAACAGACATAAAATGACAATACATTGGTATTTATCTTTAAGGTAATTCTATCAGCATATTGGTAACTGAAACTGGTTCTTACATCCGTTGTTGACTCACAACACTTAACAACTTTTTTTGGTTGGCAGCATTGGGTGAGAATCCCAACATCTGTCTCACATATAGTTTTTATTTTCGCTGCAGACACAAAGAATTCCATTAAACATATTGTGGAATATGTTACATTAAATAATACTAAAATAGTTGCATAAATATATTATATAATCTAACTTGATCAGTTAATATGACAATTAACAAGTTAAGAACATGTGCATTTTGGCAAATTTCTCTTAAAGCCTTTTTCATTTTTACAGGCCCACCAGAGATAAGTAGTAGAGTAACAGGTTATATACTAAATTTCTGGTATTAAAAGACAAATTTCAATTGGTGAATTTTATGATATGCACATATCATGACTAGAAGTACACAAAAAAAGTCACTTACCATTCCTTTTTTTGTTGCATAGTTTAATCAACACATCGCAGAAATAATGTGGTATATTTACGCTAATGTCCTTAGAAAAACTAACGCACGTCTAGTTGATCACTGCTGCCCTAGAACACAAAATATCACAGCAAAAAAAGAAACGTATGATACCCAAATTCATCGACGTCAAAACCGAATGGAACACAAACTGAACTGAACCTTGACTCTTCTCCACCTCCTACTGTAGAGACGACTATGTGTTCTCTACTTGCTCCACCTATACCAATACGAACCAATAGTCGACTGTGTAAACCTTGACAGTTATCTTTAAGGCAATTTTTTTCAGCATATTGGTAACTGAAACTCGTTCTCATATCCGTTGTTGACTCACAACACTTAGCAACTTTTTTTGGTTGGCAGCATTGGGTGAGAATCCCAACATCTGTCTCACATATAGTTTTTATTTTTGCTGCAGACTCAAAGAATTCTATTAAACATATTGTGGAATATGTTACATTAAATAATACTAAAATAGTTGCATAAATATATCATATAATCTAATTTGATCAGTTGGTATGACAATTAACAAGTTAAGAACATGTGCATTTTGGCAAATTTTTCTTACAGCTTTTTTCATTTTTACAGGCCCACCAGAGATAAGTAGTAGAGTAACAGGTTGTATACTAAATTTCTGGTATTAAAAGCCAAATTTTAATTGGTGAATTTTATGATATGCACATATCATGACTAGAAGTAC